GCTCTTCTTCTCTTTATCTGCCCTACTTGGGCAAATAGTAGAGAATTTTCTGTTTCTTGGCCTCGGTGACCCCTGTGGCAATGACTTCAATCACTTCTGTGAAGTTCCAGTTTAGTGTATCTAGGAGTTAGGTAAAAACGACCCCTTGGATTTCCTTTCTTGCCATCATTTTAATTGCAGCTTGATTGAAATCAAATTCATCACATGTACCATAAAATTAGACTCTCTTAGCAGCTTCCCATTTCTAGTCAATGAAACCACAATTTCCAGTCCTCTGACTTCAGCCCAGACTTTGACAACGCCCTTAACTCAGCTGCTGTCTCCTTTGTCTATTGTCACCAACTTAGCGATACATCACATGAAAGAGCTCATCTTCTCCCGGCATCTTCATTCCTCGCACGAGCCTGGAGTGTGCCCGGCACGGCTCCTGTCTCAATGGTGCAGCAGCTCAGCTGCCCTGCCTGGGTTCTCCCAGCTCTAGTCCATCCTCCTCTCTCAGACCGGATCAATTTTCCTACACCTGCCCTTTATCCATCATTCCCTGACACCAAAAACACCAGTGTCTTCCTATTGCACCTCATGAAATTCCTGATTTCAGGTCTCCCCACTACAAACTTCACCCTAACTATTCAAATTCAACATTTTGGCTTATATATCCTAGGAGTTTCTACATGTATCGTATTTCCTGTATTATTCCCCATTATTATCTCCCCAGTGCTCTCCTTGCTAAGTACATCACCTTGCCCTTATCCAACACCCCAAATTCATCCCCACCCCCATGGCTTTGCCCGTGCTGACTTCCCATGTGGAATGCTCTCCCTTCCTGCCCCACAACTCCTCGCAGCCCCTCCAGCAAGCCTACCCTTTCCACTCTAGTCCCCAGTAAGCTCCCTCTCCTCCAAACACCCGCAGTGCCCACAGTCCACGCTACATATGATCACTGAATCACCTGCTATTTCCTGTCTGCTCTGCTTGTTTTCTTCCCAGCCAGACCCTAAACCCCTTGATGGTGAGGACAAGGTTATATAGTTCTTTGTCTGCTCCATGGTGTCCAGCAAAAGGTGCTCGATTAATACGTGCTGACTCACCAAACTGATGTGCAACGACTGACGGAGGGTGGGCAGGAGGCAAAGAGAAGGGAGAATGGTGCAATTCCAGGTCATCCAGACAATTATTTGGACGACTGCTTCAGGTCCTCTGCCACCTCCTCTTAAACGTGACTTTACCTGCAGAACTGAACCTCCTGGCCGAACTGCGAGCTTTCCGGCTGCGTTCCCTCCTTCAGCTGGCTGACATTGAAAAAGGACAGGGTGTGGTTGACAAAGCCATGCAGAGTCCCATTGTGGCTGTAGGAGTACTGGTACACGAGTCGCGGGATGAAGTCGGAGGTGATGGCGATGACAAAAGCCTGAGGGACAGAACCGTAGCACTGAGGAGTCGGGATGGGTGCTGTCCACATGGCATAGGGTCTCTCTGACCAAGGGACTATCCTCTCCTAGGCTCTCCATTAGGAGGGCCTGCTCTGTCTGACCACAGACTCACCTGCAGCATGCACAGGTCCCTGTCCCTAAGCTCACGCAGCTGACTTGCCTGGCTTTTCCGTCCTTCTATGTGTAAGTAAATCCACCAGGCAGCAGCTGTCAAGAGAGTGAATTACAACCGCTGCAGCAGGATGCGAAGGCCTAAGGCCTAAGGATGCTAAGCCAGTCTGGACCATTTGGTGCTAGAGGATTAATTCATCTCTCAGATAATAGAATTGACACTGATGTTGGCCAAGCCAAAACAAAATACAAGACTTTTTTAAAAAAATTACCTATAGTGATGACAGTGTCACTTAAGTGCAATAGGCGAGGAAATTAAATGGCCATGTACATCTGCCCCTGAGTAACACCAGAAAGCCAGGAATACTGGGAATATGATTTCGCAGTTTCCTCAACTTGACCATTATCTCTCGACACTTTGTAGCACATCATGTAATGGGATTTTTTCTGTTACCCACTTTCTTTAGGAAAAGTGAGACACAGAGGAGAAAAGTGTAGGTCCTGTTAGATGGAGCCACACACACCCAGCACAGCATCTGGCACATCTAAGTGCTCCATAAATGTCTATAGAACAAAGCAAATGACAAATGAATGATTGCATGTTTGAATGTGGAGGTACTTTCTGCAAAGAAAATCTTAATCTTTTTGGCAGGTGTTTATACTGTATTCTGCACCAACAATTAAAGCCCTTTAAAAAATGTAGTTTAGATATTATTTTCTAAATGTATACGTGAGCATGGACAGCCATAACCATATTTGAGAATGAATTACACACTCGTAGTAACCCCAGCTACAGCTTACTGGGCACTTGTTATGTGTCCTCTCATCATCCCGCTTAATTTCCAGGATGATCCTATTTGGTGGGTATTATTATTACCTCCCATTTTACGGATAAGTAAACAAGTCTTAGAGAGGCCAGGGAGGTGAAACCTTGTGTCCTGTTCTGTCCATGGGAAGTGGTTAATACTCAGGGCCTCTCTTCTAGTAGACACAACTCCAAAGTAACTGCTGATCTGTTTTCCAAATTGCACTTTCTTTCTAAGCCTCAGTGTTTGATGCTGCCTACATCAAACACTCCAAATGCAGTGGGCCGATTCTCTCTGCTGCTTCTCACCCTTCTCCAGCTATTTTATGTGTTCTTAGTAGGGAACCAGGTCAGAGCCAGAATCAATGTTTCTCTCACAAGGGAAAGAGGGCTGTGGCTTTCTTGGCGTGCACTGAGCTGGCTGATATTTTCTTGGGTGTTGGGACAGGAGACCCTGAATGGCCACCGCAGGTACAGAACGCAAAAGAAAAGGAGATGTTGGCCTGGACCCAGCAGGATGTCCTCTGAAACGTGGACATGTCTGGCAAGGCAGTTCAAGAGGTCGCAACAGGTAGGGCCCCTCTTCTTCTGTGTCCCTCCTTAACCTCCACATGCCAAAGGCTATGGGGATAATTAAGACTTTGCATTAACAACTCAGAGGAACCGTAATTAGGAATTGCAGCCTGGGCAATGCTCCAGGTATTGTTTAGCTCCGTAGAAAAGGAAAGGAAGGAGATGGCTAGATATGTGGAATTCTTTCCACATTATTCTTGGCTCTGAGGACAGATCTGATTTTGACTCTTCAGGACAAGGTGTGCACTCTGTTGGGTGATCACCTTTCTTTCTCTCAGTGAAATTAAAAGTGAAGTTGCGTGGCTGCAGTGACAGGGCGGGTACACACTGTCAACCGGGGCCTGCCTTAAATAAATCCCCAAATGGAACGTGCTGCATGGTAACCAGGGCCACTTTCCTGCTTTGAAGACCTCAGCTACCCTGGAAGCCCTTCCCACAGAGCAGGGCGTCATGAACACAAGCACTTACATTGATGATAACAGAGAACTTGCCGATTCCAGAGAGGATGTCAAACCAAATTCCTGTAAGACAGAAAAGAGGTGTCCGGCTTACTCCCACCCTTGGCCCCGTGATGACAATGCTGCAGCCCAGGGTGACGTTCTGCAGGTAAGTTCCCAGGGGAGGTTTGTCAGTCCCCCCAGGGATGGCTAGTCTGGGAAGGCTTAGGTGCCCCGCTGTTGGGAAGCTCAGGAGACAAGGGGGGTGGGTACTGTGACCTCTGAGGGCCTCCCTGTGCCCGAGGACATGAGGATAGAAAGTCAGAGGGATGAAGAGGTTAGGGTGGTGGCAGGAAACAGGGGAGGGAGGCGGGGAGAGGGCCCTGCCATGGCCTGTAAGTGGCAGACATACCGATGTCTTTGGTTCTCACAGCATCTGGCCTTCTTAGCTCTGTCACAAACTTCTTTGCATCCAGCCGCACTTCAATGACATTGTTGAGGAGGGCAAACAAAGGTGCCAAAGGAAAGGAGGCCACAAAGAGGGTGACAAAACCAAACTGGATGACTGGGAGAGAGAAGAGCATGAGAAGCTTCGCCAGGGAGAAGCAGGAGCTGGACAAATTCTGGCTTGCAGCTACAGCCCCTCGCCTTTCTTCCTACATGGACCCATTTCCACACTGGTCTCTTGGTCTCCCTGGAAATCTTCCCAGGAAAATCCTGCACCACATACGCAGGTGTTTCCTTCTCAATACCTGCAGGCCTGCCGGTCAGTGTCATCCCCCAGGAGCAAAGCTTTGAATCAGGCACAGTGGGGAGATAGGAGACAAGGAGAAGTCCCCACTCCTTCCTCCCCATCACCCTTCGCCTCCAGCCACTGCTACTGTCCATCTGACTCAGGGGCTGGCAGACCTTCTCAGCAAAGGGCCAGACAGTAAATATTTTTGCATTTGAGAGCCATATGGTCTTGTTACAATGACTCAACTCTGCCACTGTGGAGCAAAAGCAGCTAAAGACAAAGCATAACAAACAGGCCTGGCTGTGTTCCAATAAAACTTTATTTACAAAAGCAGTAAATAAAGTGGGCTGGATTTGGCCCATAGGCCATAGTTTTCCAATCCTTAATGGAATTTATAAAACCACCTCCCCAGTTTGGACTCTTCTTTCCGTATCTGTAGTTACTGCCTTTGTTTAGAAAGCTTATTCATTCATCACACATTCATTGAGCGCTCACTAAATGTCAGGCACTGTGCTAAGTATTTAAGGAGGCAAAGGTCTAGTCCTGCCTTCGAGGAGCTGGGTTTGGGAGGGGGAGAGAAAATGTCCACAAAGATGTGCAATGAGGCTTCACGTGTGCCAGGAGAGAAAGAATAATGTGCCAGAGACAGAGGAGACCCAAAGGAGGGAAAGCTCAATCTGAAGTCTCCACGTGGAACACCTAAGCACAGTCATGAAAGATGGGCCACGGGTTCCAGGAAGACTGAACAAAAGAGAGCATTCCACGTCACGGAAGCTGCATGGGCCAGGGCTCAGGGGCGGCCTGTGCCAATCTGATGACCATCAGAGGCTGAGGCCCTACCTGGACCGTGGCAACACCTCCCGACTGGTTTCCCTGTCACTGCTCTTCCGGGCTTCTATAGTCTGCTCAGCCGCAGCCCCTGTGATCTGAGCCTGTCACCTACATACTCATAATTTCTGTGGGCTCCCTTCTGTGCACTGAATATAATCCAAGCTCCTTACCAATCTGTCCCAACCTGCCTCTCCAGCCTCATCTCCCAACATCCCCCACAATGGTGGTGCTCCTGCCTTCCAGCCCTCTGAAACTCTCTCTCCTGATGTCTCCCTGACACACTAGGTCCTTCCACTCACTGTGCAAGCAGCCGTCCTCCAGCTGACAAACCACTATGCATCCCCCAAACCACCCAAGTGCCACTTCCTTGGTGAAGCCCAATACCCCCTCCTCTGACCCCCACCATCCTGTGTTCAGCCTCAGTTATAGACACTGTCATGTTCTGCTGTGACTGAGCTACTCATGTGTCTTTATTCCCACTGGAAAGGCAAGGGCTCCATCCACTCTAGGGGCTCAGTACATATTTGCTGATCCTGAGTCCCAGGAAAGTCACAGACTAAGAGGATTTTCCAACATACTAAGGGCAAGTTCTTAAACGTCTCTGTGCCTCAGTTACTTCAATTGTACCTTGAGAATACTAATAACTCTCACCTAATAGGGTTCTCACAAGGATAAAAGATATTGCATACATAATATGCTTAGAACAATGTCTGACACTTAATTGCTCAATAAATGTTACCTATTATGTGTAATTTTATTCTTATTGGAGTAAATACCAATGTATAGAAGACTGTAATGTATACTGTATATGCTAAACAGATACAAATTTAAAATTTAAGCCCTGAATGAGAGTCAGGAGACCCAATTTGTTGACCCGGGTGTTTCTAACTAGCCTATGTCTCTGGCCAAGCCTCTGTGTTTCAATGGGCATTGGCACTTTCATTAATAAACTGAAGGGACTGTTTCAAATTCCCTCTAGCTCTGACTTGCTGTGATGCTGTGACTCTCATTCTCTTAGACAAGCTTTAAGATTCTAGGATATTCAAAAAAAGAATTAAAAATCAGGACCCAAAGTAAAAAACAGAGGGCTAAGACTAACCACAATAGAAGTTTCCAGAAAGAGAACATGCATGGAATTTTACCCAGCCCAACTGCTTTTGATTTGGCAGTTTGCTCAGCCCACAGCTGTGGGTCACTGCTTGTGCTGATACAACCCTGTCCACTGCCATCGTCCTTGAGGCCCAATGGAGTCGACAGGCTCTAGGAGACTGGCAGGTGCCATTCAGTGACAAGACACTTGCACCAGAAGGTACAGATTTGCCAGGTTGGGAGCTTGGAATGACTGCCTGGCTAGCTGGCTGGCTGACGGGGACTGGGGGTGGGGTGGAGAAATCTTCAAAAACAAGCTCTGAAGCCAGTTCAAAATGCAGGGTCTACCGCATCTTTTAAAGAGGCTTTGCTGAGGAATTCACTTTGGAGTCAGGGATGGGGGTAAGGGCAGAGGGGGTGAGGGGGATGGAATTAACAAGGAAAGCAAAACAGATGTTAGACTAGTTTTCTAAAACCTGTAAAATGCACGCCTGTATTTAAGTATATTCGGATGCTTCTTTCTTTATGGAGTTCTAAGTTGGTCTTCTTGATTCTAATGAGCTCAGTTCAACAGGGCAAATGTTCTTATCATAAGTGATTTCCTCCAGCAGAACTGTGTAAACTCTCCAAAGCCTCACTCAGCAAAGGTTTGGCAAGGAGACCGATGGGGAGGGAAAGGGCAGTTTTCTTCTGAGTGACTGCAAATGTACATAGCATGCCCTCACCATGCTCGTGTACACAGTGCTTGGAAATACAGCATCCTTCCAGGAGTGCAGGAAAAATGGGACTGTCCCCTTACCCTTCTGTCTTTCCTATGAACGCGAGAGGCACGCATGAACGCTGTCCTCTAGGGCTGCCCTGACAGTTTGCTTTTTTCATCTTCTCGAACTCTCTAGACACAGGCTATCTGTTGTCCCTCTTCTGTCAATGCAAATATCTTCCAGTGCTGTCCCGATATTCTCTAACAGTTCCCATTAATTATCCTGATCCTGTAACAAAACATCTCATCTCCTTCCCCTTGCCACGTAAGTCTATGTGTTCAGCACTGGACAACTTCAAAACAGTGGACTAATCAGAGGCCAGTGACACTGGACCTGAAATGACAGGATACGCCTGTCCCCTCCCCTGATGTTACTCCAGGGTATCCTGGGGCAAGAAAAGCTCCCCTCTGCAGATGTCCCATTGCTACAGCTATTGCCTCCTTGTACAGGGTATCCTCAGCCTCTCCAGGATTCAATCCAAGGAGGCAGAAACAAATAGGAAGCTTTGTTTTATCTTGGGGAGAAAAATATATGAAACCATAACCCTCTAGCATGCAAATGCCAAATCCAAGAATTGTTCTTTTCAGTCAAAGGTATAAAATGTTGTATCAGATAGGAGTCCTCCTGGGTTCACTTCAGAGGACACAATGATACCGGCCTTTACCAACACCACGATGATTTGTTTCTAAAACCAGCAAGCCTCCATTAGGGTAAGAGCAACACCGGAAATCTTCCATGCGCTGCATAATAGGGGACAGGTTGGCCTGACCAATAACAGATGAAACCAGGCCAAGCCAATTAGGGAGGAATCCACAAGTTGATTTTCAACTAAACCTTTGCAAAGCCTGCTGTGAAGCGCTCCAGAAATGCTGAGTTGGAAGAACAAAGACTGGAAATACTCCTGGGCACAAACCCCACTGGTTTTCTCCTCCCGCACCCCCACAGCCAGGGACCTATCAAACTAACCACCAGTCCTACACTGCCTGATGCTGGAGACAATTAAAATCATGGGTGGGTACCTGGGCTTAGGTTAAAATAACAAGGAGGAGTGGGTTAAACTAAACAAGACAGCAGCCAGCAAGGACATTCCAGGACAATCTGCTAGAGAAGAGAAATAGCACGGCAGGTAGAATAGAATGGACTGGCCAGGGCTGGTGGAAAAAAACCTGACTTTTCCACTCATTTATTTAAAATTTTTCAGTGAAAATATTGCTTCGCATACTGTGTGTGGGTGTGAGTGCACATGTGTGCATGAGTGCGTGTGTGCATGCACACACACACACAAAATAAAGTCCAGACCCTTGGCCTGGCAATTAAGGCCCTTTATAATCTGACCCTAACTTATTTTCCAGACTCATTTCCTCCCCGCCCGTGTTCTCTGCTCAGGGCTGATATTTAGCTAGTGTTTTGGAAATCAATTCTGCCTGCTTTCCAACCATTCCAAAACAATTTGTTCTTCTCTAAACTTATCATGTTTTCTACATTTCTGAGCCTTGGTACATAGCACTACTGTCTGTAATTTTCCTTCTCTTCTGCTGAGTGAATGACTATTCATCTGCTGAGTAAATTACTATCCGTCTTGCAGGATGAACTCAAACTTCACCTTCTCTGTAAAGACTCTCCTCTGTTCCCCACCAGCTCATCCAGGCAGAACCGGGCACCAGGCCTGTCTACACGCTCACTCCCATGATGCCTTGCACGCGCCACTCTGCTTATCTGACCTGCCCTCTAGGTGGTTAGGCCCTTGAGACCAGGCTCCACATTTGATTCTCTTCCGAGTCCTCACCATCTTTTGTGGTGCCTACCATACAGCAGGTGCTCAAAGGTTACTGTTTCATAAATATGAGCTTATTTTCACAAGCTGTGAAATGCACACACACAAAAGAGGCAGAAAACTAAAATGTGTGAGCTGAAAGCATTGTACTTAGTGATGGTGACAAGAGATGGAGACGGGGAGTATTAACACCTCCACACAGCAATTCTCAGTGCTGTGTCCCTACAGAAGCCTGAAGAAAGCTGGAGTATAAACAGTTAGGGAAGTCCAATTCTAATAAAAATTATTACAGTGGTTTTAAAACTTTCTACAGGTTAGTGAAAGCAACACAGTCTGCTTAAGAATCATAACTGGTTTTTTTATCACCAGCCCAT